ATGCAACTTTCCTTCTTCAGGAAGAATTCCTTTTTTAAAAAAAAACAAAGATTAAAGGTGAAATAAAGACCAAACTGTTTAAAATTTGACCAGACTTAATTGAATTTTAGTTTTCTATTAACATCATGCCATCCTGCTTCTATATTGTGTAGCTCAGTAATAGCATCCAGGTAGTTGCCCTATGTATATGTGGGTTGCACTAAATTTCTAACAAGGGCACTATTCTAATAATACCGTAATTTGTACAATGAGCTTGCCATAGGTGAAATTATAAATTTTCATGCAACTGTGAGGTGAAGGATAAAAGAAATCCAGAAGTGGAGTATTTAAACTACTTTTATTCCAAAGCACTGAAGACATTTCTAACAGGCTGAGATGTTTCTAACTTGGTTTCAAACTTTCTCTTTTCTTTTTCTTGGCCAGAAGAGAATTTTATATATCGCATTTTCATTGATTATATGCCAAGCTAACAAGAAGTAGAATTATTTTAGATTTGTACCATATACAGTTCAAAAATAGTTCATAATTTCATAGATAGAAATTCATTCAGACATTAAATATGATCCTAACTAAGCAGAGAGAAATACCCTCAAGTAATTGACTTCTGCCACAAAAAGAAATGAAAGGGAAGGTTACCAACCAGATGATTTAAAAAAAAACTATAAAAATGTACACAATGTGTGCTTGCTTGTCCCAATTATAAAGTGTGCATGCAAAAGTTTGATTCGAAGTCGCACACAAAAATAAGTATAAACATGTAAGATAAGCATCTAATAGATTATTGGAGCAGAAACTAAACTAAAACAGAACTGAAGAGGCAACCAATTAAACATGGCAGTTAGGTTACAGAGGATGGGAATGCAAACATGAAGACAACAGCAGCTTGAACTATAGCTGTAAACATCAGGACAATGTGACCAAGTCAGAAAGGCCATAAGCATTGCCACAACAGGAAAATATTGAAAATAACTTGCGGCACAGAATGCACAGTGGGATCCTATCTAGGCAAGGCCTACAACTAGTACTTGGGCACCTGGTTAGGGTTTGTAATTGTGCCCAATTTGTAGTACCTGGTAGTTGAACTTTGATTTGGGGCAGCAATCTGTCCCATAGTGGGCATACTTGAGGTACTTGTATCACTTTTGGCTTGTGTTCCATCCCCTCGTAGAACAGCAATGCATTTCCAACTGTTCATGTAATTTGCTAGGAAGAGGAAATACAATTAGTTTCCTGTTGTAATATCATTCCCAATAATTCTCTTAAAATAATAAGCGAGGGATTTTTACCTTTCCACAACCTAACACAACCATCATCTCCAGAGGATGCCAGTATTGTCCCAAGAATATTCCAGGACACCCGCCAAACAGTTCCTGATAAGTTGTCTTCTTGTTGAGCAGTGAGCTGCACATCAAATCTTTGTGATGATCCTTCCCTAGAAAGGGAATTGAACAAATAAGTATGTTGCAAACAGTTTAAAGAGTTAATAATCATTTATAAACAACTTACGGAGGAGAGCCCAAGGTCACTATTCGTACATCCTTGGTGGCAATGGCCAGGAGATGATAGCTTCTGCCAAGATTGGGTGCAAATGCTATATCATGCACTGGTTCATTGATTCCAATAGAAGCTAATGATTCTGTTTTGGTCCATCTAATTCCACTGTATTCATAAATTGCTACTTTACTACCATTTGCAGGGTTGTTGTCATCACTACCAACTGCTATCATAGGAGGGTGTAACCTGCAGGAAAAACATAGATTCATAAATTCAAATTGACATGATTGCTTACAGAAGAGTCAATTTTAAGCTTAAGCTGTAGAAAAAATGCCAACCTTGAAAACGAATGACTCCACGTTAGGCAGCTGCATTGCTGCTTGCATTGAATTTCATGTTGAAGTGTCCATTGACTAAGATTCATTACATCAGGAGCTTCGTAAATACGAATGACACCATCTGTTGAACACGTTGCAAGTTGAAGCCCTAGAGATTTAGGACCAAATTTAACATCTGTCACAGATGTTCTTGAGTCTACGAGATTAGTCCTTCTAATCCATGTTTTCAAGCCTCTCTCTCCTTGAGGTGGTGTCTCTCCAACTGTAAAATAATATGTTGATTTAATTTCCAATGGGGTACCAATAGGGTATAACTAAAGATACTTGTAATCGTAGTATTTATGGTTGAGGAGACCACTTACTTATTTCTTCCCAAATAGCAGCTGTCCGATCAAACGAACAGGTTGCAAGGACTTGTCCAAATTCAGGGTGGGCCCAAGTCACTTTCCACACTGAGCCACTGTGAGCTTTCCAGTTTGCAGACAAAATCCAGTTCTTTTGTTCATCTTGGTCCCAAACCTATAAAGTTAATAATAACAATAAAGTAACAGATTAGAAACATAAACAAATGGCTGTGAGATAGCAATAGCATTGATTGATTAGAGCTACAGATCTGCAAGAAGATCTTTAATAGAATGTTACTAAAATTTCGAGAGCATAATTTATTTCTAAGGAAAAATTACATTGTTTGGAACTCAAAATACCTTTACTGATTGGTCACTAGAGCATGTTGCCATTCGCTGACCATAATAGTCGTAAGCAACATCATGAATTAGGTCTTTGTGCTCAGCGTTTATGCTTTTAGCTTCAAACATTGTTGATACTGTATTAAGACAGGTTTAAATTGTCGTTATTCACAATAGAAAATTGAACGAATTTTACCGAGTTTCTCAAAGACCTACACATACACAACACAACCTAATTTGCGCCTACCCGGTGTGTGTACAGTGTACTGTGACGTGACGTCATTGGCGTTCGTTCGCGCTCGCGTACTCCCCGGAGCCAATGGCTTTACTCTTCCAGTTCCAGTGGAGACTTGCGTGATTAATAACTTACAATCATAAAAAACTGCTAAAAGCATTCCGATTACTATTTAAAATTATGAGAAATATTTGATAAACTTTTTGGTAGCAATGTTTTTGATCCGTAAGGTTACATATCATAGTAGAGCTCATATAATCCAAACTCTTCAATTATCTATGTTGGCAATGAAAACGTACATCACCGACGACTGACGAATGCAGAAGCCTTCCAACATCCAACTCTTTCATTCGTGTCCATTCTCTAAGAGTTACAGTGAGTTACAGTCAATATCTTCCAGTCGATTTTTGTTATATTTTAAGTGACAGACCTCACTGCAACATGTTTTGAATCAAGAACTGCGTGTTTTCTCACCCAAGCCATCTTTTCTCAGCATGGAGCGAACTAGGAGTCCAACCTATTTGTTGAAACTTAGGAAATGATAAAGTAGTGTCATGTTGTAGGCCGACAGTCAATCACGTATTTGCACATTTAACATCTCTTACTATGGCTTCTGCGGGCTCTGACACCAGCAAAACCAAAGGGGAAAATTCGCAAGAAGTCGAGGAGCTGAGGCGCGAAGTAGAACGCATCAATCGAGAACTTGATAAGGCTAAAGCCGAGAACGATCAAGCGGGTAAGATTGGGTTAAAGCTGATTGAACAAAACACCGCACTCAAACAAGAGAACAAGGAGCTTGAAACTTTGTATGAAAACACTCGCCATGACCTGGAAATTACTCAAGAGGTCAGTTTTATCATCAATCAATCATTATTGGATTTTGTTGTTTTGTTTACAAAATTTGTAAAAGAGAAGAAAGTTTGAAGTGATGTCATTGTGTCTTTTGTTATTGTTGGCAGGCACTTACCAAGTTTCAGTCGACACATAAAGCAACGACCGAAACTGGCATTGAGCAGGAAGAGTCCCTTCTGTCTGAATCTGCAGCGTTGGAATCATCATTGACTCTTCACATAGGAGAGCTTGAAAATGAAACTAAACAGGTAACTGTGGCTGTTGGGTGGTACAATGCCTTTAATTGCTTATGTCACTATAACTTTTATTTTAACTTTTGAATTCTTCAGCTACGTCAAGAACTCGAGAGGGTCGTTGGTGAGCGAGATCGGCTTGCCCATCAGCTACTAGAGTTTGACAAACAGCATGAGGAAAGAGACTGCGAAAGAAAATCATTGCGAGCAGAATTGAGAGAAATTAAATTAAGAGAAACTCGTCTCATTACTGAATATTCTGAGCTAGAGGAAGAACACGTTGCTCTTCAAAAACATGTCTCAATTGTCAAGTCTTCTCAGGTATGCCTTATATGCATTCATTTCCTAGGGAAACCTGTGAAATCTATGTAGAATAGTTCATGAAGATTGTTCTTGCTGATGAGACCTATTTTGATTCATTAGCCATAAGTCGGGTTTGCAATTTATCCTCATGTGTAATTTGCACCTGTTTTCACCCTGGTCATGTGTTTAATTGTAGGTGGAATTTGAATCATGTAAGCATGAAATCCGTAAGCTTCAGGAAGACTTAGAGGTTTTGAATGAACAATTAGAAGAGCTGGCCTCACTCAAAAAGATAGCTGAGAAGCAGTTGGAGGAGACATTAGAAAATCTCCAATTAGAACGTGAAGCGAAGTATGCTTTGAAGAAAGAGCTAGACCAGAGAATCAATAATGAGTCGATGTACAACCTAAGCAATCTGGCGTACAGTATCAGAGGTACATAGGTTTTTTTAGTGTCAACATGTTTGAAATATGATGTTTATTGTAAAGTACTAATTGTTTGGTTTTAACTTATAAGGAAATGCAGCCGAGGGTAGTGATGGCGAAGATGAGCTCCCTGTATTAAAACGCATAGAAGAGGATCTGAAAGATACTGAGCTGGCATCGCCTGATGGTAAACAGGTTGATCTTTTCAGTGAAATTCACCTTAACGAGCTCAAAAAGCTTGAAAAACAACTAGAGCAGGTGAGAATTGTTTTATTGAAGTTGAGTAGAGCTGATAGTATGTTGATGATGAATCTGTATTTCAACATGCATTTGAATGTCACATATTTTTAAACCACAATTAATCTGCAAATTTTGCTAAATTTAGGCTGAGAATGAGAAGGTTCAGTTGACATCAAACCTAAGGGATGCTCAATCATCTTTGGAACGATCTCGAGGTGAACTGAGTGCCCTTATGGCACGTATTCTCCAAGTTGGTGCCAATGTTGAGTCGTTGCAGGAAATATGCAAAAAGACCAAAGTAAAGGTGTGTCTTGAAGAGATTACTGAGTTGTCTGTGATTGTTACAAACTTAATTTTTGTTCACGTATCTGTATTTTTCCATAATCTTTCAGGGAGACTCTGCTCAGTTTAAATACTGGTTTACTATTGCTGGTAATGAACTTGAGATATTACACAATGCCTTGAAGGAATTAGAGAAGGATTTGAATTGTTCTGATGCAACATTACAGTTAAAAACTGAAGTGACTAACCTTAAAAACAAAGTAATATTTTTGCACTTATATATTTATGTACAAATATTCTCTATTTATTTGTGTTCAATTTTGAAACCTGCTCTTCTTTCAGTTGTGTGATGCAGAACAGCGTGCTGCAGAATTGGGCGGAGATGTCAAACTTCTCAGCACTCTTGCTAAAGAGGCAAGTGACCTAATGAGCTCTACTCACAACAATGTCATTACGGCTTCTGAGGAAGTTGCTCAACTCTATCATCATGTATGTACCATCAATGGAGAAACTCCTAGCCGGGTCTTGTTAGACCATGAAAAGCATGGTGAAATTGAGACAGAACCTGAGTTGATGGAGGGGCGGCTAGCTGCTATGGAAAGTCTCAAAAATATTACTGGCTTGTGTCATATTACTGAGACTCTTCTTGACCAAATTAAATTCCTTCGCTCAGCAGTCAGTAATACGATTGAGAATAAGGGCATAAGCACAAGGCTAGTTTCAGACAGTGAGTACAGATTTCTTTTTAAATTCTTTTTTATGGTCATCATTTTACAATCAAATTATCCATTGTCTCAACCTTATTTTTTTCCTCAGTTTCAGTTCCAAAAGACTCAGAGGTGGCTGAACTGCAGGAGCAAATAATAAAGCTCAAATCTCTTCTCTCTTCAAAGAGAGAGCAAATTGCCACTCTGCGAACTGTATTAAAGTCTAACAAGAATACTGCGGAAGTTGCTTTGAATAACTTGAAGTCCAAGTATGAGAATGAAAAGGCTATTGTCAGTGAGACCATGATGAAATTAAGAAATGAACTAAGATTGTTGAAGGAAGATGCTGCTACCTTCTCAAGCTTACGTGCCATGTTTGCTGCTCGATGTGAAGAGTATGTCACCCAGGTTGATGAACTCCAACGCCAGCTTGTTGCTGCTGAGGAAGAGAAGAAGACTCTTAATCAGTTGTTGCGTCTGGCAGTTGTTCAAAAGCTGAATCTCACTCAACGACTTGAAGAGCTGGAAGTAGATCGAGAACTCCGCACAGCAAGACGCCCTCCAGCAGCTGCAAGCCATTCCACTCCACCTCGGCAGAGTAAAACGAGATTTGCTGCTCCATCACCAAGACAAAGAGACTATTTCTAGGATTTGAGCTCGGGCAGCTGCAGGCGAGCTATTTTACTGTGGTCCTGGCTTCTTGGAAGCCGTAAAGTGGAAGAGAAAAAATAGTTTTTCCAAAATTAACTCTTCTCTATAAAGGTTCTTTTTCTTCTCTATTTTTCATCAGTTACTTTGAACTGCCCTTCTTCTGTAGAAGTGTGAGACCAAAGGAGAACCTTGCCTGTGCTGGCCGAGTGTAGAAATAGAGCTATTATTATCTTTCTTGGATTAGTAATAACAGACTGGTATTCAGAACTTCAATCTAGTATCCTACAACTGTTAGTTTTTATATGTTTAAATTTTCCAACCAACTGACCAAAATTAATTTTGGCGCTCTTATGTAATTTGTATAGCCATTTTTGCTCTAGATGCTATGGTATGGTGAATTATTTATCAATTTTCTAATAAGAAGATTGTAGGTGTAGTTTGTCCATAATTATTGTGTACCTCAGGCAAATCATGGTCTAATTTTCAAAAGTATGTGCTGGTTTTATTTATTTCAATTTCTTATCTGTATAACATTTTCATCACAAACATATTAGTCCGCCCAAATACTGTGGTATACGTGGAGCTCAATTCTTAAAAATGGTATGGTGAAATAACTGTTCCAGCCTGGTGATACTTTCTAGTGTTGTGAGTTCTATTTGGCAGCTAAGAACCATAATGTATTCAAAATTTTGTGCAGTGTCTTACTTTAATATCTGGTCTAATTTCAGATGCACAATGCTATGTTTGTGTCCCTGAGTGTTCCTCTGGCAGCTATGACTATTTATGTCCTTTATCATGTTATGTTAATGGTGTATAAACTTGTGCCTTGAGGACCTATCGTCATGAACATTTTATTTTGGTGGGAGGGATTTTGTCTCTTTTCCATCCGTCCACCAAACATAATTGTTGCAAAGATACGTCCACTTTGTATAATGAGTGAACAACTTTGAAAGCTTGGCATTGGGGAAGAAAGCTCAGCAAGCTGCATTATCTGATATATGTTAATGTTTAAATACTTTGTTATTGAATTTTCTGTGTCTTGGAAATATGAATAATTCTTCTCACTTGAATCGGCAAAATTCTATTGAGGAGTTATCTCATGGTTTGAGTCTTATTAATTACTTACAACCGTCCTGTTTCTATTTAATGTGGTTAGTGTAAGTAACTATCAACTTTGTTGGGAGTTATCTGCACTTTTAAACAAAAAGTTTGTTGTTATTGTTAATCGTTAGTGCTTGTGATGTTGATCCTTGCATTAAAAGAGTGAATATTCTATGTTGTCACATATCAGTCTGCAAATGAAGCTTTCCAACTTTGTTTAGAATTTTATGAAAACTGCTATATCTTTATAATTTTTATTTATTTATTTAAATTTTTTTAAAATTTTATTTCAGTTACAGTTAATTATTTTATTTTACTTCTTTCTTTTTTTGTTTCTATGTGTGATTTTGGTAAAGTTTGTTTTTTAAAGGGTATTAATATCAGCAGAAAAACTGCAGATCTTTAAATGTGGATTGTGGAAGCTGAGCCAAAGTTGTAATAATGGGGTTGTGATCTAAAGAGGTGCCACAATTTGTATTAACAAACCTTCTAGGTTGTGTTTCTTTTTTTGTTCCAATCAAACCTTAGTTATGGAAATCTGTTATAAAATTGAATTTAAGTGTATACTTCTGAAATAATTCTCCCTCTTTTGCACTAACACCTTTATAAGGAGATGAGGTGAAGGTTACTTGAGTATTTTTGTTATGATATGCTAGTTTGCCACAATTTCTTTGTCTTGTACTTAAGAGAATATGTTGTTAACTAATTTTCCGTCCTTATCACAGTGCATTGTCCCTCCGTGAGAAAATCAATGAAAAATTTTCATCAAAATGACTGGAAAAGATGTTATTGTGCAATGTGCTAATCCCCCTGTACACCATGATGATTTGTTATTAACTTTATCCAGCTGTAGCTTCAAGATTCTTTGTATTTTGTAGGGTAGCCTTTGCATAGATTCTCTTCTGTAGTACTTGTCTTAAACTTTATTTTCCATGATTTCTTTGTAGGTGCTAGGCTGAGTATAGATTATTGCTCGCTTTTCTGCTTTAGTATTGCTGCTTGGTAAAATATCAGTTTAGTGACTTTATTTCTTATCAGTCAAGTTATGATGATGTATTTTCCATCGCTTCAAAGAGTCTTATTATAAATATAAAGGTTAAAATATGCCTCTAAAACTCTATGCCACATCGCTTTCTAAATAGTTGCAGTCCTGCATAAGCATTGCATGTATTGTTGGTCACTTTATCCAGATACCAAAATTGTAGAGGCTCTACTAGTTGTCATTCTTTCCAGTTCATTTCATATATTTTTTTTAAATTATACTCTTTTACTTGTACAAACCAAGATTTAGTTTTCCCCTAATGTTAAACAAAGAGGCTATGTAAGGCTACTATAAGACAAAGTTTTGTAGTGATTCGTGCTGCAATGGTATCTTGCTTAAAATGTGAGCCCACATGGGCACTGTGCATTTACTAGGTAGGATAATTATTCTAGGGAGTAATGAAACCAATCAGAGCAACTTATTTTTCCCCAGTCTGTAGACTTTCAAAACGGAAAGTACATTTTAATCCTTCAGTTTGTGGGTAAGCTCAATAATACCTACCCTCAAACAGAATAAAATTCTGCGAATTCGAGCTTGATTAAAGTTTTACATTATTTAAGTTAGCGGAAATTGTTGTAAATTTTTGTTAGTGAAATTAAGTTACTCACGTACTATTACCAATATCCAATATTCCTGTTGCTAAGTCTCTTTTGTACTATTTGAAACTTAACGTTTTATCCTCAAGGTATTACTTTTTAACTTTATTGTTTGAGTGGATGATTTTATGATGTATATCAAAAGCTGTTGATTTGCTGGGGAATCTGTTACCTATTGTTGTAAAAGAAAATATTTATAGTTAAACCCAACTTATTTTTGATAAGTTTGGTATGGTAATTTGACAAAGGACTTGTTGCTCTGCAGTTTTCATCCATCCTTTTCTATTTGTTGTGCAAGTGTCAAACGCTCGAAGACGTTTTTTTTTATACATTTGCTATGTGAGCTGCAAACTTCTTATGTGCAGCAGTTTTTTGTCAGAAGCTGTAATGTACCAGGTAATAAACAGGAAAACAGTGATTTGCTATTTTTTTTGTCTCCTGTTTGCTGCATCCTGAGAGTTCTGAGAAGGAAAGGGAATGTATTCACGTAAAAACGTACCTATCGAAGTCTACATTAAATAACTACTTAACAACTATACAACGATTTACAACACGGGGCATATAGTTTTGTCGTTATGTGCAATGTGCGTTTGACACATTTTGACCTGATGCCATTTTCGTGATCTGCGTTCCAAATTCTACGCCGTGACCGCGCCGAAAACGAGTTTAGTTAGCAAGAAACTACAGACAGAGAAGCAGGCCCAAATCTCCCTTCGCTTATGAACTAGCAGGTATGTACATTTCAATTTGCGGGTGACCCAAGTGTATACGCCTCAGGGCTATACATATGCTACATGGTCCAAAGCGACGTTTGGCGTTTACTTTTGAGAGACCTTTCGGAGTGTAGATTCTAGACATCTTTGCCCATTCCTCGCTCAAATCACAGCAGACTCTGCTGTGATGAGGTCATCCTACCCAAGTCCAGCCGCAGCAGGCAGTCTGACACACAGCCTTCGTAGAACACACCTTTTATGGCGTCTGAGGGATGGATTTAAGAGAAGTAACCAATCTGTCAGAGTGCACTCAACTGGAATAGCATCAAAGGACCTCTGCTGTGATGTGAAAGTAGTATGGGCAAAGATGTCAAGAATCTTTACGCCAAAAGCTGTCTCAAAGGCGTGTACATTTGATACACCCCCAAATTACAGCCTGCCCTTACGAGGTCAGTCCGTGACGATTTGGGATGGGGGAGAGCACACAGCTGCGCCGCGGTCGGCTGCGTCTCCGGGTGAGGTGCGGTGCGGTTGTGGCCCGCCTACTGGGTAGGCAACCCAATGCGCAGTCGTGCGCGGCGCGCTGCCTATAGCACGGCCGGCGGGCGCCCCCCATCGGGGCCTCCCGTGCGCGGCCGCCTCGCCGCGGCTAGGCCGCTAGGCCCTTGCCCCGCGGGGGGCCCGGGCCCAGCCTGGGCTGGGGACACATGGAACACATGCTCGACGCGCGGCGTGGCACGGCGCGGCGCGGCGGCCGACCCGACCCGGCGCCGCCGTGGCCCGGACGCCTTCTCTTTATATTTCGAGGTAGTGCGACGCGTAAGACCTGCGGTCCCTGCTGTCCCAGCAGGTTGCGCGCACTCCCCCGAGCTCTTCCTCTTTCTACACTCGCCGTCGCCGTTCTCAATACGCTATTGCCACGAGTTGAATGATCCCGTGGCGGTGCGGCGTGGGGCCGGGCCGAGCGACGTCGTCGGTGATAGCCTATCTGTCTCCGCGGCCCGCGCGAGGCCCTCCCCCTCCCCCTGGAGTGCCACGGGTTCGAGTCCCGGCGCCGCCGCGCCGCGCCCGCCGCCCCGGCCGCCCCTGCTCCCACAGTGCCGGGAGCACCACGTGGCCGCGACATGGCTCGCGCGGCCTAACCTCTTCCTGGGGCGGCTGGGTGCTGCCTACCCTCCAGGGGCAGCCCCGCGCCTCCGCGCCGCGCCCCGCCGGTGGTGGCTAAAGTGCAGTAGGGCGCCTCGAGTGCGCGGCGTCGGACTTTATCTGCGACACAATGTTGCAACTAACTGGCCGGTGCGGCCCGGGTGCGCGGCGCGGGGAGGGCGTTGGGTGAGGCGGGCTTCTCTTCCAACCTGATTGATGCTCTCACTTGTAAGAGCGGGTGGGCTGTAGTAATTTTTTTCCCCCCTTAGTCACCCTGGTGATGTGCCGACTCAACCCGACCCGACCCCCCGGCGGGAGCCAACGGGTGTCACAGCTGTCACAGCTGGCCGATGTGATCGGGCGGGTCCCGGTGACGTGCTCACACGTAAGTACACTACATACGTGCTACCGATGGCCGGGCCCGGCCGGGCGGATGTGCAAGACGCCCCGCCGCGCCCCGCGCCCCGCCGCGCCCTGGCGCCGCGGCGCCGCGTTCAAATAGATAGCCCTGCCGCGCCTGCCTGTCGCCTATCAGGCGCCTCACCACGCTCCGCCACGCCCCTGTGCAAAGAGGCGCCGCCGCCGCCGCCATCTTGGCCCGGGGCTCATGTCTCAAGAGGGAAGGGGTGAAATCAGAAAGGGTCGTGTTCATGACTGTCGTTTATATTTGTACAATGTTTCAAATTATGCAAAAAAAAAATATAACTTAGAATTTGTTTAGATTTGAATCACTTCAAAAGTTACACATCAACGTTTCGTAAATCTAGGTAAACTTACAAGTAGAAAAAACTAGAAGTTTTAATTAAAGCATATATCTTTTTTATTTTTGCACACACTCCGCAGACACTATGAAGGGCAGCTTGGGCTGCTGAAATACATAGTCAGGCAGATGTATTGATATGTTTAATTGGCAGTGTGGCTGGCTGGTGAAATGCCATGGCACATTTATGAAACTCTGTTTACCTAACACGAGTTTATCGACTTTGTACAATATTTACATTAACATGAAGGTACATATGACAATATACATAAATTATTTTTTTTTAAAAGGAGAAAATTTTGATGCATTTAATGAAGGTGCATTTCCATAACAAAAAGTCCAACTTAATGCCATAAATAATTTAAAATGAATCTAAAAAAATTATAAAACAAGGGCATAAAAGCCCGAATAACATATCTAAAAATCCAAATATAATGTCTCAATTACAAATTTGAATTTTAAATAAAACATTAAAATCATGAAATTGAAAACAAGTGCCATGCAACCTTCATTAAAGACACAAACATTGGAAACTCCATTAACAAGCCAAGTTTGTTCCACCTTTTCCTTTTCCTGGGGCGAAAGGGTAAAAGGGGTGGGGAAAGAGAGAACTAGCAAACAAAATAAAACAAAAAATGCCCAAGATCTGCAGATATCACATGGCATCATGGCTACCAATCAGTCTTACGTCCGGCACGGCCCAGCCCGTCCGGTGTGTCCCTCCTCAACTTTGGTCTGTAAGTATTCCTCAAACACAACTTATACTGACTGCTTTGTTGAGGGGACAGGCTCTTGGTACTCGACACAAACTCCATACCCAATAATGACTCACACATGACTATTACTCCACTACATTGTTTACTTCATCTTTCACGTCAGCATCACATCTTACGCAAACACACACATGCTCACTCACACACTAGTACACAATCTCACACACATTCACACATAATCCTACACTCAAGCGTAAATCACAGCTTTCCCCTCAAGAATAATTAAAAAAGTCTACGTAATACTAGTTAAGCGAAACTTCCCCTCGGTGGAGGCGCACTCGGCCGTCCACTTGGATCTTAACCTAGAGTAAGTTACTGGTAACCGGGCCGACCAGGGCCCGTGGGTTCAGGTACTGGTGAAGAAGGGGCAAGCCCGGGGGCGAGGGTGCCCGTGAGGGTCCGCCCCCTGGGCGAGGTCCGG